ATTTCCCCTTCTCTTCAAATTTGAAGACCCTACATGAGAAAATAGAAATAAATATTTGATGCAGTCTAGTGCTTTAAATCTTGAATTAAGTCTTGGTGGTCCGCAGCCACAACAGGTATTAAACGGGGTGCGTGGTGAAGGAAGGGTTGAGAACCCCTGGGTTAGATGAATGGCATGCTGGGGTGTGTTCCTTTCTCTCTGTTGGCTTTAAGGGGAAGTTAGCTTGTATTCAGAATAATGCTGGGAAGAAAGAGGAGATATGATGAGAGGAGAAACAGGCATATATTGGTGTGGCTTCACACACCCCACCTGCTAAAAAGAAACACAATTTGAAAATGAAGTTAGTCTGGCAAGGTGTATGTCCCATGAGGCTAGGACTGTTTGGCCTTAACTGTGTTAACCTCCTTCTAATTCTCTGTTTGTCTGGTCCCGTCTCCTGGCCTGGAATGTGACCACAGCCTTACAGTTCAGCTCAGACTGGAAGGGCCCCCGGTGGGGTCTCTAGTCCAATCTCCTGCCAAAGCTGGGCAGTTCTGGGGTGGGATGGGCTGCTGCTCAGGGCTTGGTCTACTTGGTGCTACAGCACAGCATGAGGAGATGACTGCAGGCTCTCAGATGTAAAGGCCTATACGGTAAATGTTTAAAGCTGAATCATCACAACCTCTTTCTAGACAGGGTCCCAGCAGCAAGCACACCCTGTGGTGTACAGCTGTCTGCGAGGCAATCAGTTCCCTCCAGCCATGGCAAAGGGAACAAAGAGAGAATAAACTTTCTCAAGCTTTCTGCCCTCTTGGCCCTACAGTGTGACCTCCACAGACCAGCAATGTCTACTCCCCTGCATTTGGCCCAAAACCCAAGGGCCTGTTAATCAGGTTATCAAAACGTTCAAAAAAAGCTTTTTTTCAAGAATCTCATGCTATGTCTGATACAATTTTGGTTGAATTCAACTTGTAGTTTAGAAAGTGATGGGGGTAAGAAAAGAAGAAGAAAGACAGTACAAGATAAAGCAACTGTATAAATCTAATTTCTGTTAAAAAAACCCAAGCCAAAATGAAACAAAAACTCTAGTCACCAAGTTCTATCTCCTATAAACCACTAGCTGAACCCTGGGCTTTATGTGAGCTTCCTTTCAGTACAGAGTAGACACTGAATATAAGGGTCTAACCCTGTAGCCTGATACAAAGTTTTGTCTACATCAGAGGACCTGAGGGACATTTCAAGATCGGAAATGCTTCAAGTATATTTATGGCAATGTCTGAATCTGTAGCTGATGGTTCTCATCACGCTCACAAACTGAATGAAATGCTCTCATCTCAATAACACAGCTATTCATATAAAAAAAGTTCTTGAGTGCAACAGGGAACAGTGGGCGTGCCATCATGTTCTTCACTTGTAACCAGGGAACAAGAAAAACTTGCATTTCAACTTGCCAAAAATGTCCTTGCTCCCTGCAGCTTCTAACATGTGTGCTGTAATAAATGTGCTCATATACTCCTGTAAATCAGATTTATTACAGTGCTTTGTTACTATGGGTTAGTTGCCATTGCCATGATCAGTGCAGGTAAGATAAATGCGGAGGTACATAACTGTAAGAAAAAACAGCTTTGTTTTTACAGCAGAACCTGACAGTCAGGAACATCCTATTCCATGGAAAAGCTAACTGTCAAACCAGATAGTCTTCAGACTTAAGTTGTGTGTAGGATTTGATTTGTTTATAAGAGGCAGTGGATTATTTTCCTGATAGGGCAGGGAGTGGTTACTAGAGCCTTAGTGCACCTTGAGTCCAACTGAAAGAAAATTGCTGTGGAAAGTTAACTCATGGGAGGAAACAAATGGCAGTCAGAAAGGGTTTGGTCACTGCTAGAGCAGCTCCTCTCTATCTGCTTGTGTCTCCTCAAACACAGTGACATTTATTCAGACAGCTGCTGAGTGTTCAGTGCATTGGTGTGGCTTTTTACCATTGCTTTTAATGGAAGGTGGTTTATTAACATTGTATTTTGAGGCTTGGCAAATCTGCTTTTGTTGCCAGACAACATTATAGTCTGTATGTTGTGCACAGCAGTGCTAGCAACATCCCCTAACTAAAAATGCCTTATAACATCTTGAAGCATACTTATTATTTTATTCTTATGAAGTTTGGAGAAGATGGGACATATTGAGTGTATATCTGAATATTGATGAATTAGTTCAGGCAAAATAAAACATAACACAGACTTGGTCTGTATGTGGGAAATGTTAACTGGAATGTTTTTACATACACTTCCAGCAGAGCTGCTATCCTGTGTGTGCAAGAGTAGGACTGCCTCAGTAGCTGCATCCCTTGTGTATCTTGTGCATCTTCTCAGCTCCACATTCCTGATACAAGTACCAGTGGAAAACAATCCACCAATGGATGGTAGTTTTTAGGCCATGTTGATAGAAAAAAAGGCACAGTAATATATCTTGAGTAGTTTATAAATGACTATGGTTTATAAATGCCCTGTGGTAGTATGGGAGGTCACTATGGTGCTTTGTTACTGTAATAAAATAAATAAATGTAATAAAAGATTAAGTACTTTCTTAGGCTATCTGGCCCCTTTGGAAAATTACATCATTTTTCTGCTGTAGATCTTAGCTTTTAACATTAGCAATGCTTAACCCAGACTGACATCCTGAGCTCAGCTGCTACCAGCCCTGCACCTAAATTCTCTGCCATGGAAGAACCCACCAACTTTAGAAGAATATTCACAGCTATTCCCCGATGATCCATTATGAGCTCAGAGCAATCAAGGCTTAACCTACATGAGAATCACAGGAGTTAAGGTCTAGATGGCTTAAAGACCCAGACACTCTTAGCTTCAAACTTTGCCCAGTGTCAAAGTTACTGGAAATTTGTTCCTGAGGACACAGACACCTAGTTTTTGTGACTGATCACAGGAAAAAGGTGGGATGTTGTTCATGGCTGCTGAAGGACACAAAACTTTCTCCCTCAGCTTTACCATAGTAATGAATTTAAGCATAAAAAAAGAGCCCTTCCTTGTCCTCCCCATGGTCTGCCACCAAGCTAGAGTTGTGCACAGGAAAGATATGCGCAGGGCACAGTGTCTTGATGGTCCTGCTGTTCCCAGGTTAATGCTGCTGCAGCCTCTCTTCTGCCCAGGCAGCTGCCTCTCATACTGCTCTGAGAGCTGCCACCTTGGATGAAAGGTGTTGGTTTCCATTGTCACTTCATCTTCTCCAGGGAAAAAAAAAAAAAAAAAAAGCCAAACCAAATTCATACCAAATGGGGAGTGCGGTGAGAAAACAGCTTAAGAATTTACTTTGTTTGCACAATTTTGAAGGACTAGATAAGAAGTTAACAGAGCAAAGGGAGGAATGAGAGGAGGTTTCCCTTCTCCCTGTAACTGGAAATCCTTTCTAGTGGACAGGAATGCATTTATTTTTTGTGTCTCCCCAGTTTCTCTCACTCTGTTGGAATGGGTTCTAGCAACAAAGCCTGGCTCTCCTCTTGATCATATCTTCTCAGATGCTGGGTCTGAGGAGAGAGGTTTGTTTATCTCTCCCTTAAGCTTCGTTTTCAGTAGGACATTATGAACAGCTCTCCTGCACCTCTTGGAAGGGCTTTTAATGTCTTTTTTTAAACACTGCCGGTGCCAGACATAAAGTAAGATGCCTTTACTAAAAGTTTTTTAGAGCATTTTAACCCTTCTTGTAAATACTGTTGTAGTTAAGTTGAAATTAAAATCTCATTTGCTTCTGTTTGAGAGGAAAATTGTTTTGCCTGGACCTTGCTCCAAGCTCACTGAAGCCTCACTTAACATTGGTTGGACTGGATCACATCAGAGGTTTAAGAATTTTTTTCTCCATTTTTTTTTCCTTTTTCAAAAACTTCAATTAAAAATTTTGCTAATAAAATTCAACTCTAAATTTTCTTCTCCTTTTTTTAAATTTTAAAGTCAAAACATTTCTCCCATCTTGCAAAACTTTGATAAGAATAAAAACCACCTCATGTAGTCCTGACTCTTGAGAATCCTCCATGTGAATGGAGCAGTATTGTACCCCATGTATAACCATCACAGTAGCATTTTTACCAGCCACTGAATTTTATCATAGAATTTGGCTGTTGCAAATAAAGCCAGGGCTGTTTCTTCATGATGGCATTGGCACGCTGTGATGTGTTCGGGCAACCTAAATGCCACTCAAATCCTTCTGCCTAAGGTTTGCTGCTGGCTGGTGCCAGGTCATCAAAGACACCTCATGGACAGGCAGCCCTGAGCATTGTCAGGAGATTGTGCCCCCCCATCCTCATTGGGTCCCACTCACAAAATGGCAAACTTGGAGTAGCCACTGTGGTGCAGTAACCCCACAAGCAAACACGGGGAACCAGCAACCAGCTCCCAGCAAGTCTGGGCTGTGTTTTTCTTCCCAGGTCTTTTTACTGCACAGAGTGACCTCCCTGGTGCTGTAGGCTGCCTCCCGGCTGATTCCTCTGCTCTTAGGAGCCATGACAGCTGCTGACATTAGATATACAAACTCCTCTTAGAAATATTAAGCTGCTTGTTTGTTCCCAAAGAAAGAAATTAGGTGACGGTTGAGAGGGCTTATCAGTAAGTCAGGGCAGGAGCAAACACACACATTGCCAGCATGTTGCAAACGTCCCCAGAACAAACACCCCAAATCCAGGAAATTTAGTTAAGGTTGTTTAAATGCTTAGTGGCATTTCTGTATGTTACAGCATAAAGGTGTGCCAGGTCTGAAATGAAAAAAAAAGGATGGAAGAAAAAATGTGTCGCTCAACATCCCAAATACTGTAACCATTCAAAAAAATCTCATAAACTTCTAAGTCGTCTGAAAAATCAACTTTCTCTCAGACGGTGGCATATTTTGATAAGCCAAAGCTGTTTAAATCTATAAAAAACAGTTTAAGCTCTATGACTGCTGTCACTGTGACTAACAAACTAGAAATTTTCACTCTGATCCACAGCTATAAATCAGACCTGCATTTCCATCAATGCCCACGCTGAAGCTTCTGTATCTGCCCGTTTTGACTCCCTCAGATGCTACCAGCTTCAGACCTTTTCAGCACTGAATGCTTCAAAACCTGATAAGCTCCCTATGGGTAAGTTCTTTGTCCAATACTTTTGAAATCCGCTCTCGGTCTTTTTAATGCACACTTCTATTTTGTGACAAGGGTTAAGAACTCTTGAGCTTTTTTCATCCCCCTGCTTCCTCATCTTAAAATCTGTTTATCATTATTTCTGCAAATATTGCTAAAAGTTATTCTTGCCTTGACCCTTCCTCTGGAGACATGCTTATTTGGGACTTAATCACTTGCTGATTAATTTCCTGTCATTCCTCATTTTATGGGCTTCCTAAATCCCTCTAGAGAGATTATGATCTCAGGACTAAACCAGGAGCAACTCTCTTGACACCTCTAGTAATTCCCGTGCAAATGAAGAAGAATGGAGACTCAAACCCAGACTTGAAAGGGCAGGAGTTAGGAGGGTCTGGAGAGGGCTTGAAATTTGCTGATAGATTATTTTCATTGAGGGAAGACCTGCAAGATCATTTCTATATTAGTCAGCAGATACAACAGGACATTATGCCATAGTAATGTGAAGTAAGGCCTCCAGAATAAAATGTTTTGAGGTTTCAGTTTCATGGTTCTTTTTGAATTTTACGCTATTAATTTCAAATCAACACAAAAATAGCTTTTAATTTTTCCTTTCCACAGTCATGTTTTCCCCACTAGTTCCAACAACTTCACACAGGTTTGCTTTAGAAGACCAGAACCATGTCTGGCTGTGCTGTATTTGTCATTGTTGTATCCAGGGGCTGCCGGACTGCTGTTCTGTCACACCTCCATAATCTTAATTTTCTAAGTAAATGAAAAATTAAAGATGACTTTGATTTTTCCTAACTTTTCCTGTATGGAATACTTTCACATTTAATTCCATGAAGAGCACAGCAATACTTTGTAACTGTTCTCAGCTACCTTCTATAGTGGTGGTGCAAAACCAGACAGCCTTTAAATAGTATCTTTTCTTTCTTTGCTCTACTTCATTCCTTTTTGCACTTTGTCCTTTTGCCTAGTTTTACAACCTGCTGCACATCTCTTCTCCATCTACCTCCAGCTAGTTTTGTGATACTCTTTAAGAGCTGATATATAAACAGCAGTCTGAACTGTAGCATAACTCTGGAGCCCTGGCAGCCCTGGACTCACCAATGGGAATGACTTGGTCAGCTGAATGTTACCCTGGTCCGGCTGTTGTTGCACTGCAAGTTTTGCTCTGTACATGAACACTGCTCTTCCTTTTGCTTTGCCTCACGCAAAAATGACATAGTGAAAAAGGAGTATCTGGAAAGTAAATCTTTACATTAAGAAGCACAACACTGCAGCAGCCTGAATTTTCCCTAGTCCTGACCACAGTATGATCCTGGAGCTGCCAGATCCCCATTCTGCTGTAGGTGACCCTCTAGGAAGGTTGCCCTGTGGAGGAAAAAGGAATTTAGTCTTCTCTATCCAATCTTTCCCTTGGAGTTTCAGCTCACCGTTCTTTAATTCAGGAACTGTATGTTTTAATGTGCTTTTGGAAGAGGGAGATGAAGTAGGGGAGCTTCTTCCACCACTCGGGGAAGGCCAAGCAGGCACTCTGCTTCCAAACCTGCACCGAGGATTTTCATGTTTGCCCCTACGTGCCATCCACTCACTTCTTTATTTCCTGCCTCCTTACATAGAAAAGCTTTTTGAGGAGCTTACAAGGGGCCATAATAAACAGGAATGAATTTCACCATGGAAGAGAGGCTGTACAAGCTAAAGAGGAGGGAAAGAATTAGTGAACCGTGTATTAGCTCTGCAGACTGAAGAAACAGAAACTCTGTTGGACAAAGCTGGCAATTAAGGTACTTTATATATATGTATATAGATATATTTTAAGTTTTTTTGCATTAATAGATTTTACACGCAGTTGGAGGATGGCTCCATGCTATTGCTTGGGGTCCCCCCTTCGCCTGTACCCTGCCTGCAGGTGCCTCCCGAAGCAATACATCTTCAGTCCAGCAAGCGTCTCACCTGCGCCTTTCGGGCAGCTCCACTTCGCCAGAACCACCTCCCCTCGTCTTCCTCATCCCTCTCGCCCCTCCTCCCCCTTCCTCAAACCGACGGTCACTTGACCCGGGCAGGGCAGACAGGGCAGGGCAGCCGCTGCCCGAGTGCGGGCAGCCCGGGGA